TAATGTAATGGCTATAAACTCTCGTTTAATAAAAGTCTCGCATTTAATGCCTGTTTGCGATTAAAAAAAAAAAATAAAATAAAGAAAAGTTGATTTTAACTATTTTTTTTAAATACTCAGATACTGATTGAAGGATTTTTTTGTTTTTTCTTATTTTTATAGTAGAATAAACTAGAATTCCCTGAACAATATCAAAGATTGCCAATAGAATGTTGCCTAGTGATAAGTAAAAGTTGAATGATTTTACTTCGATTTTATTTATAAACAGATTCTTTTTATAAGATTGAATATGATAATGTTGTTGCAAACCAAGGTCTTATAATAGTGATTGAGAAGGATGATTGGCAAAAATATTAATTTCTTAAAGGATGTATTCATTGTTTGGTAATAAATAAAAAAAATATTTTAAAATATTTTAATGATTTATTAATAAGAAAATCAATAACAAAAGTAATATAAAGCTTAAATATTTATTTAAAAATAAACTTTAAAATATTAAAAAAATAAATTCAATATTATTTGAATATTAAAAAATAACAATTAATAATATTTTTAATAAATTTTTTAACAATTTGCAAAGTAAATAAAATCCAAAGATATATGTTTTTTAATTAATAAAAAAAATACCATATAATTAAAAAAGACAAACAAATAAAAAAAATAAAAAAAATATATCAAATTATCTATTTTAAATATAAATATAATGTTAAAAATTCTAGTTAATATTAAATCAACTAGAATACAATTTTATTTTTAAAACAAAATTTTTATAAAACAAATAAGTTTTGATAAATTAATTAAGTATATATTAATAAATTATATAATAAAGTTTTCTTTAACAAATTTAATTAGATAAATAAAGAAATAAATTTATAAAGAAATAAATTTGTATTTACTTATCTAAAATATCTAATAAACAAGATATAAGTTATTCAATTAAAAAAAAATCATATAAATTGTTAAAATATACCATTTCTATTTTGAAATCTTCAAATCTCCAAATAAAATATAAAATATAATATAAATTTATGATATATATTATTATAATTTTTTAATTTTAATAGTTTTTTTTTTTAAAAAAGGATTGTTTTATTAAATTTTTATATTTTTAAATAAAAAATTTAATAATATTTTTTTGTCTTGTATAATATATAATTTTAATTATATAATGTGTAATAATCTTTTTATTATTGAAATTATTTAAAATCCAAATATTGCACCACTTTTTTATCATCAATACTTATAAAGCTCATATGCATAATTGATAATACAACTAGTAGCTAGCTATTGTTTACTTTTTTTCCTTTTTCTCTACTTGGGTTCTCAAAGATTTGCATATGTTACCCTTAAAAAATTTGATAAGTTCTAACTAATTTGTTTTGTAAAGGTCATTATGTTTTGAATTACAAACATAATGGTTAATAAAATCCATGCATTTAATGCTTGCCAAAAAAAAATATCTAAAAATAAATGTCACAATATTTTTTATATCAAAAAATTGACTACAGATAATAAGCTTGATTGGTATTGCATTACTTTGAATTGTTACTGTATTATTATATATAATTTAACTTCATTATTCTATTTTTAAAATTATTTAATGGGTCATGAATAAATTTATTTATATTACTTATAAATAAATGTTTGTCTTTTCCTATTATTTGCATAAGACATATACGATTAAGAGGATAGTAAAATTAACCGTATCACACACTAATGTTGCAGCTTTTTCACAATTTGTTTGTACATGGATTGATATTATGATATTTATCGGGTCAGCGTATAAGCCGTGAATCTCGCGAATTTCAGTACGGTATTGAATATATGTTCTTTATTACCCAGTTCTTGAATGGGAAGATACACTTTTTAGTCTTATGTTAATTTGAATGTTCTTGCACCTCTTCGTTGTTGTCTTGTGTTGATTTCAAAACCAAATGAACATCTTTTAGAGCTTGATAAATATTCATATTAGCTAAGGTAAATAAAGTTAGTTATTTCCCTTTCTCAAATCACGAAGGTCTTAACTTACATGTTTTGTCTGGCGAGTTTTTAAGTCGAATAAGTCGATCAATTAGATCATCCAATTCCTCTTCGTTTATTGACGATCGATAATCATCATTCTTTCTGTTTTCTACGTTCTGTATATATTTATAAATTCGAAATGTAGATTTTCAACGTAGTTAATCGAAGAAAAAAATCAGAAGTCAATTTTGAACCTCACCGAAAGATAATCTATAAATGTTTAACAAAATGTTTAATATTAGAATATATCAAAAAAATTTTATATAAAAAAAGTAAAGACCTTTTTCATTAAGTGTGAAATCGCTATCATCTGTTAAATCAAATGCCATTTATAAGTGATAAAAAAAAAGTTAGATTTGATTTAATATTATAAATAGTTGATGTACTATAATTTATTAACTTAACACGAAAGCGAATATGTGCTTTCCGATTTTACGGAAGAACATTCTGATTCGCCTATCCATTCATAATGTAAATCCATATTATTCAGATAATTTTCTATTTCTTTCACTGTAGGTCGATCGGATCGTTCGTCTTGCCAACATTTCTGATAAAGATCCACATATGATTTTGGAGTTCCACGAATAGGTTTTTCTCGATAATTTTTTTTGTTAATTAGTTGATATAATAAAGCGGAAGGATGTATGTCTTTAAATGGTTCTTTGCCATTACTGGAAATTTCCCACATTACCACCCCAAAGCTGTAAATATCTGAGGTCCTATCATGCTTTTGAAAATTATCCGATAACAAGCGAGGATCCACAAATGCTACTTTTCCAAACATAATCTGGGATATCGATAAACTGCCACGAGATAGAACCTTGGAAAATCCATAATCAGCTATAAGTATACGTATTTCTTCAGTTTCAGATTGTTGAACTAAAATATTTTCGGTATGCTAAAGGCTACAATTATTAGATATATAAATAACATTATTGATTTTAATTATCCAATTCTTACCAAATCACGGTGTAATATTTCATTGGAATGTAAAAAAAAAAGACCATTTAGAATTTGACAAACAATATTAATCTTTTCGATCCAATCCATCATGGCTCCATTACGTTTCATATACTGACGTAGGTCTCCTTTGTTCGCGTATTCGAGAACAAGCTTGTAGTCTTTTTCTACTTATTAAGAATGAAATATAAACGTTAAATGTAAAGAAAGGTGGTGCATTCAGAGTAATCGATGCGCACCTCCTTCAAAGTAACTAGTGTAAAATTAATAAGTAGCAAATATTATGTAAGTATATATTCATCTTTATAAAAGGAAAAAAGTGGTTTACCTTATTCCGTAGAATCTAAGAATATTATCGAAACCTTTTCGTTTAACGTTACTTGTTTCCTCATTAGGGTCATGAACTACATTCTCTTTAACTTTGTAGATTTCTTTATATACTTTTAACTGAAATATATTGACATAACTTAATAAACGTTAAACAATAAACAGTGCGTATTATTCAATATTTTATTACCTCTCGAATAAGACTCTCGTGTGTATCCTGTTCACTATCTAATAGTTCGGCTGTATGTTTCAGGACTACTTTTATATTTTTCGTTTTCCAACGATGAAGTTCTATTAAACTAAAACTCCCGATAGAATAGCAGACCTGATCGATTTCAAATTCAGAACTATCTATCAATTTTAGTTCACCGTCTTCGATCAAAGTTTTAATCCATTCTGTACTCGAATTTGTGGGTGTGCTCTTAAGCATGTTGAAGAACAGAAAAAACGTATCAAAAAGCATGACATCATACCCAGCTCATCGGGCCAATAAGCTGCCTGCATACATACTGTAGGCCTTAAAATGAATTCTGTACTATAAAATCGGGGATGAAAATTGTTTTTCTTTTTTTTTTTTCATGTTTAGGTTTTTTTTGTGTTTGGATTTTTTTTTTTCGGGTTTTGGTTTTTTTTCGGGTTTTGGGCTCTTCTTTTTTTCAAGTTTCGGTTTGTCTTTTTTTTCGGGTTTATTTTTGATTTTTTTCTGCTTTAGGAGTTTTTTTTTTAATTATCATTAAATTTAATTAAATATAAAGTTTAATTTATGCTTAATTTTTAATTTTCCGTTTTTCTTAATTTGTTTCATTAAATAAATTTAATTTTGGATTTTTGAATTTTTATGGTTCTTTTTAATTATGTTATTATATAAATTAAGTTATTAAATTTTCATTTTATTAATTAAATAAATTATGTCATAAAACAAATTAATTATATATAATTATATTATTAAATTATTAAATAAATTAAATAAAAATTATGTTATTAAATTTTAATTATATAAATCAAATAAAATAATAATATTAAATTATTATGTTATTTAATTATTAATCTTAAAATTACTTTTTTTTTTTTACTATACACTAACTGGAGCCATGCTTGATATACTTTATTATTTTAGAGATTTGCAAGTTATTACATACAGTGTGATGCAAAAAAAATCAGAATTATATATTTACTTATAATTCAATAACTAATTAATCAAATTATATAAAACTTTATAAATAAATTTTTTAATGTCTTATCAATAAGTTTGTAATGAGTTATATATAAAATAAAATAATAATAATTTTTTTATTTTATTTTTAAATACAATAAAAGTTAAAAAAAATTAATTTTCAATTTTTTTATATAGATTTTATAATAAAAAACTGTTCAGAAAATTAGTTAAAAATTAAAAAAACTCTTTCTCACAACTTTTTAATTTGTAAAAAATTTTCTTTTTTAGTAACGACATGAACGGTAGACAGTAAACAGTAAGCAAGAACCTCTTCCTGGAAGAGAAGTCTATCTTAGCTTTCTGCAGGGTGCAAGAGGTTGATTAACTCTCCCTAAAGAGGTGGATGCTTTGGGAGTGACAAAAATCTCTTTGATTAAACCCTTTGCTTTACTGAGTAAAACCTATGTAAGCAACCTCCAAACAAAGAAAAACCTTTTTATAGTATTCACACACATTACTACCTATCACATCACAAAAAACATACACAAAATCAAACACAATCTTTTTCTCAAGAGGCAGCATTTTATTTTTTTAGAGTTTTTGTTTTCTGTCAATAATAATTAATGCCAGGTTAATTGGCATAACCTTCTGGCTAGTTGTCAGTCCTCGTTCACTTTCACACACAAAAAAACCGAAACTAGTTTACTCCTATCAAAAGATCTGCAACACATAAAACACCAATAATATTCCGTATCACCAAACTACATCAAAATAATATAACAACTTACTGGATTGGAAGAGCGCATGATCAGTGCCCTGCACGGGTTCCGGTAATCACAATATACAAAGACCCACCACAATAAAACAACAAACATCTGGAACGTATTCCAGTTACCCCACTATAACACTATAACACAATTATATCATATAACAGCAACATATCACAAAAATCACTGGATTAAACCCACCGAGTTATATGTGGCTTGCGAGATGTCGTCATCTGACTGAAACATTAATTTGTGTTCAGGAACTACATTTAACAAAAGTTTCAATATTTTTTTAACACCTCTTCTTTTTTATTTTTTTTCTTTCACTAAATAGTGATCTTGCCCCAAATGTTTTTTTATTTTTTATTTTTTCTAGTAGATAGTTTCTTTCCTTTTTTGTTTACTCAAGGTTTTTTGGAAATATATCTACTACAATAGATGGTAGACCGATATGTATAGCCATATATCTCATATCTTAATATTGATCATGTAACATTACATATTTACTTTATTAATAAAGATCATGAGAAGTGTCTCACCTTAACATCAAAAAAAGAAAATTAGTTAAAAATTTTGATTCTATTTAAATTTCAAATATTTTTATAATAAAAAATATGGTTAAAATTAAAAAAAAATTATTTATTTATTTATTTATTTTTAGTGAAACGTGCGCAAGGTGCATGATCTTTATTGATACATTTATATATCCAGACAGACACCAAGTATCTCTCTACAAATTAACTGGAAATTGGTTGATATATAAATATCCATTATGTCTCTACAAATTAATTTGCAGATTAACACTGCCTAGCGCCTATATTACTATAAGACTAGTTATGCCAATCACTATTACCCAACTTATGCGTTCATTTAAACACCACGTAAATGTGCCCACACGTCAGGTGGAACTTCTGCAGGGGGGGAATCCTATCACTAGTTTAAACATGTCTAAATCTACTAAGTCTATTATTGCAGAGAGCAAGTTATTATAAAATATTATTATAGAAATTAACCCTAGTATTCCAGTCACTATTATCACCGATCCTCGAGATATGTCACTAGCATAGCGTAGCATTACCATTTTCACCACCTGTGGAACTAGCATCCTTGCTTGGATTCCGATTTAATCTTGTAGATCCTCACTAGACTCACTTGGCTTAACGATTTTTGTCTAGTCT